AATCTTAAGAGTTGTACAGACCCTATGATCCAACTCGTCCCTACTGACCAGATATCCTAAATCAATCTAGTCCCAATGGCCAGCATTTGGCCCAAATGCCTACAAACCCTTCCTATTCATAGACACATCCAGATGCCTCTTAAATGTTGTAGTTGTACCAGTCTCCATCACTTCGTCTGGCAGCTCATTTTATACAGGTACCACCCTCTGCGTGAAAACTTTGCCTCTTGGGTCCCTTTTATATCTTTCTCCTCTTACACCTATAACCTCTAGTTTTGGACTCTCCTACCCTGGGAAAAAGACGTTGTTGTTATGGTCCACATTGAAGGGGATGGAGTGGATCTAAGTGGTTCAGAAACAGGCACGTAATCAACAGAGATAATAAAAGAAAGGAATGGCTCAGTTTAGTGAACAAACATCTCTTGACATGTTCATTCTTTGCTCCATGTTGTACTTGTTTCAACACTTCCTCATGCTAGCGGTGGATAACATTTACCCTGTGTAATGAGTGATAAGGATCACCTTTCCGTTTCCTGCTGTAAAGGCACAGCTTCATTGGCACTTGTCACTGTTTGTACCTTGAACGGTAACACTGGTGTGTCATATTCTTGTGATCTTATGCAGCCACTGAATAAAGAAGAAAGGACAAAAGGGTTTAGCAAAGCTGAATAAAAGTATTTTCGACAAACTTTGTCAATCAGAAGAATTAACAATTTTTTTTTAATTTCAAAAATATACTTTATTCATAAAAAAACTTTCTCTCTCTCTCTATTACATATAAATTGTCACAAATGCAGTTCAGTCCTGTATGTAGCATATCAAGTAAACATACATAAATCATTTAACAACCCAGGAAGTGGCTGATTATCATACAGGAGCTTATCCAAAGTGGCTTCAAGTACCCCCTTACAAACTCGGCTCCCTTGACTCAAGGTTACTGTCTGCTTTTCCCTTCTCCCTCTCCACCACTGAATGATGTGGATGAAGGGGCAGCGCTTCGAAAGCATGTGATTTCAGATAAACCTGTTGGACTATAACCTGGTGTTGTGTGATTTTTGACGACTGAATGAGGTTGATCTTTCACTGCTTCCAGCGCTTTGACTTGTCACTTTTAAGCAGGCCAGCTTTAGCTCAGTGCTAATATTCATTCAAGCTTTGAGTCAAGAAAATTGTAGATTCAACTCCTGGTACCACTCCCCTGAAGTGTTTAAGGGATAGTGAGATAAGTTCATGAAGGAGAGAGGATTAGAGGGATATGTTGACGGAGTGAAATAGAAATGGATTATAACTTCTTAAAGGCTTTAGCAAAGATTTGTAGCTCGGGTTGTGGGTCAGGTTGTTGACTTGTTCGCTGAGCTGGCTTGTTTTCATTCAGACGTTTTGTCACCATGCTGGGTAACATCATCAGTGACGCCTCCAATGAAGCAATGTTGTTCAACTCTGCTTGGAATTTATATTGTCCGGTCCGTTATGGTGAGTCGTGTCATTTCCAGGCTGATCTGCATGGGTTTGTATATGGGGCCCAATTCTATTTGTTTGTTGATTGCATTATGGGTTAAGAACCATGCCTCTAGGAATTCCCGTGCGCATCTACGTTTGGCTTGGGCTACTATGGTTACCGAATCCCAGTTAAACTGATGGCCTTCATTGTCCAAGTGCACTGATATTAAGGAAAGTTCCTCGTGCCATTTTGCTGCTAGCTGATGTTTGTGTATTCTGATGGCTAGTTTCCTTCCTGTCTGTCTGACGTAATGTTTGAGGCAGTCGTTGCATGGTATTTTGTAAACCACGTTGGTTCTGCTTGTTGTGGGAATGGACGGATCTGTACGTCACAGTTGAATGTATGACCAATGGGGAGTTCCAAACCTCAGTACACAGGAAACGTCCACAAACAAAGCTGTGTTAGGACACTATTTAAATGGGCCACCACTCACTGCAACACTCCAGAATTACACAGGTAAGAGGAAGAGCATCTATATACTAAATCTTCACTATGAACGATATCCCTGCAACTTCATCCGCAGGTGCCTACTAAATAGACAACAAGAGGGCACAGTACGCCATAACAAACTGCCCACACTGCCCTACATTAAGAACATATCAGAACTGACAAGACTTCTATGACCACTAGGAAACATGGTAGCCCACAAGCCCACAGCCACTCTACAACAAACACTCACAAGGATTAAAGATCCCAATCCCACAACATGCTGAACCAATGTGGTTTACAAAATACCATGCAACGACTGCCACAAACATTACATCGGACAGACAGAAAGGAAACTAGCCATCAGAATACATGAACATCAGCTAGCAGCAAAACGACACAACAAGCTTTCCTTAATATCAGTACACTCGGGCAATGAAGGCCATCACTTTAACTGGGACAAGGTAACCATAGTAGCCCAAGCCAAACATAGACATGCACAGGAATTCCTAGAGGCATGATTCTCAACCCATAATGCAATCAACAAACGTGCAGAATTGGATCCCATGTACAAACCCGTACAGATCAAAACCAGAAATGACACAACTCACTGTAATGGACTGGACAGTGTAAACTCCAAGTGGAGTTGAACAACATCGCTTCATTCGAGGCTTCACTGATGATGTTACTGAGCATGGTGACAAAACGTCTGAACAAAAACAAGCCAGCTGAGCGAGCAAGTCAACAACCTCATTATAAATTCTAGCATAAGCTGAATGGCGTGTTTCTGTGCTCCAGGCACGTTGAAGCTTAAGCATGGTTAGTGTGTTGACAACAGAGCTGATTCCAAGATGAGAAGGGAATTTCATTTACTTGAAGGACTGCCAAAATAAGGGTGAAAATTCAATCAGATGTGGCTTGTAATGTAGACTAAAACTCCATTGCAGTGTTTGAAGGCTCAGTGTTTCAGATCTACTTAACATACAGGTGGACGTAAAACCTAAGCCTGTTTGTATTTGCACTTAAATTCTTTTGCTTTGCCACCTCTCCTGTACCTGCATAAGGGTCATGTTGTTATTGTTTCTTTGTCTGAGGGAGAGTGAATGGGTTCTGCTCAGCTCGTGGTTCTGACTGAGGACAGATTGGTGGGCAGAGGGTTGGAAACAAAGAGTCTCAGCTGTCAGCAACATGTGCTAGAAAATGGTGACCCGTGGGCCAGAATTTCAGAAATCTGTTTCTAATGGGGGAAAGGTTCCAATTCCAGGATAAATTTGGAATAGTCCTTAGGAATGAAAGCTAAGGGGCCATTAGATTGAGGCGTTCAAATGATGAAAAGAATGAACAGGGTGAATAGTCAACGACTCTCCTCTCTAGTGGGGGAATCCAGAACCAAGGGAATGTAGGATCAGGAGAAGGCCATTGACCTTTAGGCAGATCTGCAGCTAAATGCCATGTACTGACCTTTGCCACCTAATCTTTGACACTTTTGGCTAACAAACGTCTTGTCATTCTCAGTGTTACAATTATCAGTCAGCATTTGTGGAAGAGAATTCCAAATTTCTGCTGCCATTTGCCTGATAAGGTTTTAAAATTTCACTTGGCCTACTTTTGCTCCTGTATCTCATGTTCACTCCTGAAACATCTGTCTCTGATTTTAGGCTAAGGCCCCATAAATTCTAGGGAGTATAAGCCTAGCTTATATATCTCTCCTATCTCTCCCAAATGCTTAACTTTTGGAGCCAAGATTTCAATCAGGTAAAGCTATACTGCCCTCCCTCCAACCTTCACATCATATTTTTCGGAATTTGTGTTGTTTAGAACTTTGAGTATTCCAGGAATGGTCTAACCATGGTGTAATCTTAAAATTCTGTCACTTCCTTCAGACATTTCATCCTTCACAACTTTCAAATTTCTCCCATGTTTTCCTATTCTGCATCCCTGTTTTTGTACTACTCATACTTTGATGGTGACACCTTTGGCTGCCGAGATGCTAAGTCCTGCAAATTACTTCCCTGAACAGCTTGAACTCTCCAACTCTTTCCTCTTTTCAGAAGCTTCTTAAAATTTATCTCTTTGCATCAGGTCCTGAAGCTAATGTTTTGTGGCTTGATGTCTAATTTTTGTTTGATAATACGTGTGTGAAACAACTTGAAATGTCTTGCTACGTTACAGGTATTATGTAAAAAGTACATATGTAAAAAGTGTTGTTAAAAGTACAAACAGAAAAATGTTTTTAACAAAGGTATATGAGATTGTTGAATGCCAGGAAGTTCCTGTTCCAGAATTTTCCAGGAGATCCTGTTTATAGAACTTGATTATATTTAATTTATTATTGTCACATGTAATGAGATACACTGAAAAATATTGTTTCGTGTGCTAAACAGACAACTCATATCTTACACAAGTACATCAGGATAATAGAAGAGAATGCAGAATGAGCTGATAGGTTTGAAAAGGAGGAGAGATATATATTTGAGAATGATAGATATTATTAAAGGATCATGGAGAAAGGGTTAGGATTGAGAAATAATGATTATTGTTCCTATGGCTAACAAAATATTGCAACAGACTTGATAAATTTCATTGTTTATGGATGATCTCATACATTTCTCTGTTCCATAGTTTCTGTAAACAGGCCAGAGAATGTTCTCTTCCTAGGGAATAATATCGAAAATGGAGCTAGGCTATTGAAGAACAAAGTCACAGAGCAACAATAGATAAATGGCCACAGAAATCTGGAACACCCGTTCCCCATGAAAAGGTTCTCGGTGCAGGTTCCACTGGGGTACTATTGAGTCATACGGCACAGAAACAGACCCTTCAGCCCAACTTGTCAATGCTGACCCGCCGACCAGGTTTCCTAAGCTGAACTAGTCCCATTTGCCTACATTTGGCCCATATCCCTCTGAATCTTTCCTATCAATGTACCTGTTCAAATGTCTTTTAAATATTGTAATTGTACCTGCCTCTGCCACTTCCTCTAGCAGCTCGGTCAGTATACATACCATCCTCTCTGTGAAGAAGTTACCTCTTAGATTCCTTCTAAATCTATCCCCTCTCACCTTAAACCTATGGCCTCTACTTTTGGAATCCCCTAGCCTGGGGAAAAGACCTTGGCTATTCCCCATATCTATTCCCCTCATGATTTTATAAATCTCTATAAAGTCACCCCTCAGCCTCACAGAGTCATTGAGTCATAGAGATCCACAGCACGGACACAGACCCTTCAGTCCAATGCGCCCATGCCAGCCAGATATTCCATATAAATCTAGTTCCATTTGCCAGCATTTGGCTCATATCCCTCTAAACTCTTCCTATTCATATACCCACCTACATGCCTTTTCAATGTTGTAATTGTATCAGCCTCCACCATTTCCTCTGGCAGCTTATTCCATACACACACCACCCTCTGTGTGAAAAAGTTGCCCCTCAGGTCCCTTTTATATCTTTCCCCTCTCACTTTAAACCTTGCCCTTTAGTTTTGGACTCTCCCACCCCAGGAAAAAGATCTTGCCTACTTACCCTATCCATGCCCATCATGATTTTGTAAACCTCCATAAGGTCATCCCTCAGAGTCCAATGCTCCAGGGATCACAGCCCCAGCCTATTCAGCCTCACCTTATAGCTCAAACCCGCCAACCCTTGCAGCATCCTCATAAATCATTTCTGAACCTTTCCTTGTTTTGCAATATCCTTCCTATAGCAGGGAGACCAAAATTGCATGCAATGCTCCAAAAATAGCCAAACCAATATCCCGTACAACTGCAACATGACCTCCCAACTCCTATACTCAATGCACTGACTAATAAAGGCAAGCGTAGCAAACACCTTCTTCACTATCCTATCTACCTGCGAATCCACTTTCAAGGAACTATGAACCTGCAGTGCAAGGTCTCTTTGCTCAGCAACACTCCCCAGGACCTTACCATTAAATGTATAAGTCCTGCCTGATTTACCTCCTACATTCCACTGAAGGAAGTCTCAGCCTGTTTAGCCCCCTCCTTATAACTCAAACTCTCCAGTCCTGGCAACATCCTTGTAAATCTTTTTCGCACTCTTTCCAGTTTAATAACGTCCTTTCCAGACCGTGATAGTTAAATCTTTGTTAGGTACAGTTAGCAACAGACTGAGGAGTTATAATGGATGAATGGAGCTTTTGTAGAATTTCACAGAACTTACAGCATGGATCAGGCTATTCAGTAAATGGTACTGGGACACAGATCAGCCATGATTTAAATGAATGGACTAGGAAGTTCAAGGAACTAAATAGTCTACCCCTAGTCTGAGATAGATGGATTTGTAATAAAATGACTGGGAATATTGGAAATCTGAAGCAAAAACCGAAATTGCTGAATAAACTCAGCAGGTCTGGCAGCATCTGTGGAGAGAAAGCAGAGTTAATGCTTCAAGTCCAATAAGCCTTCAGTTCTGGACTCAAAATGTTAACTGTTTCCTCTCCAGACAGATTTCTGCTTTATAAACACTCACAAGGCACTGTGGAGCAGAAGTGTGCATTTATGTTATTGGGAGTCAGTGGGAATCATAGGAACACTACAGTGTGGAAGCAGGCCATTCAACCCATCAAATCACACTGACCCTCTGAACAGCATCCCACCCAAACCTACCCTGTCCCTGTAGCCTTGCATTTCCCATGGCTAACCCACCTAGCTTGCACATCCTTGGACACTATGGGCAATTTAGCATGGCCAATTCACAGAACATCTTTAGACTGTGGGAGGGAACTGGAGCACCCAGAGGGGGCCCCTGCAGATACAGGGAGAATGTGCAAACTCCACACAGACAGTCATCCAAGAGTGGAATTGAACCCAGGTCCCAGCTTTGAGGCAGCAGTGCTAACCACTGAGCCACTGATCAGTGACAATCTTAGTGAATGGCAGAGTATCCCATTCCTGCTTCTAATTCTTAAGTTTATCAATGAAATTGAGGTACAGATCAGTTATGATTTTAATGAATAACAGAGTAGATTTGCACAGCCTTATTTTGGTGCTACTTTCAATTGAGACTTAAGTGAATGAGATATTGTTACATCAACCCGATGGCCACGAGATGAGTGCACAAAATGTTTCCTAATTTGAATAAAAGCAAAAATGTTAACTGTTTCTGTCTCCACATTTGCTGAGTTTCTCCAGCGATTTCTAGTTTTGTTTTAGGTTACTCAGTTTGAAGCTGATCAACACCAAAAGGTTAAAAATATTTCAGTGTGCCATTTCTTGACTCATATTTGGATTAAATCTGTACTACTCCAATGTCTAGTCATGGAAGGTTCAGTGTCTGAGCTTGTTACTGCGGTACTGTAATATATTATCACTATTAGAGAATTTGGATTCTAAGGTAGAGGCTGTTATGGGGGCTTTGGCTTTCAGTTCTGTGAAGAGGACAGTCATCATTTCAGCTGAGAAGAAAACATTCAAATCAACAGAAAGTCAGTTTATTTGTGGCAGTCTCCAGGTGATCAGAGCTGGGAAAAGATCAGTCCCCAGGCGATCTGAGCTGGGAACAGGTCAGTCTCCAAGCGATCAGAGCTGGAAAAAAGTCTCCAGGGTGCAGAAAACTTTGATGTTTGTTTTAAAGTATACTGACTGCCATGTGAGAACGCATTCAGCGACAGTCCACCATGGTAAGCAAACTGCAAGAAAACAAATCTTTGAACTACAAGCTAAGTGTTACTCTGGGACCTGACTTGTCCAGTGCCACCAACAGCTGGGATCGGAACAACATTGATTCTGAGGCATGCTGTGTTACTAAACAAATGGCAATTCAACAAAGTTTTTTTTTATACTTACATTTTCTTTTTGTAAGCAAATATCCAAAGTAAGAATAATGCACACAGTGCGCTGATAAACAAGATGCTTGTACTGGTACCTTTGGTCGAGAGAATGAAAGACAATATTGTTAAATAAACGGGATTGAACATAAAATTACATTAAGAAGTCACATGCTGTGGGAAGTAGTCATGGACGAGGGTTAATTTTGCCATGAATAGTGTTCATGGAGAAAAATAAAATGCCCTGAATGCAAAAGGATGTTGCATGGGAGACTCAAAATGAGGTTTCTCTCTCATTAGGTTCCCCTGAGAATTTCTGGATTTCTTTTGAGGGGAATAGGTGCAAGGCTAATGAGACCTCATATTCCTGCTTGGGCCACCTCTTTTTCTGGCAGCAGTGCAATGTTTGAACAATTACAGTGCAACTAACTGCCATCTATTTGGAGGGTAAGACTGGAGTAAACCACTATGTCTTTACTTGGAGCAAGGGATTGGTTCAGATGGTGTTCTACCTAAGGGGACCTGCCTGAGGCAGTAGAAGTGACCTCTTTGCCTCTGCTGATGATACCAAGTTGGGTGGGAGGGTGAACTATGACGAGGATGCAGAGATCCTTCAGCATGATCTGGACAGGTTGGGTGAGTGAGCAAACCAATGGCAGATGCAGTATAATTTGGATAAATGTGTGAGGTTATTCATTTTGGAAGCAAATGCAAGGTGGCAGGTTACTACCTGAATGGCTGTAAATTGGGAGAGGGGAGTGTGCAGCGGGACCTGGGTGTCCTTGTGCACCAGTCGCTGAAGGTAAGCATGTAGGTGCAGCAGGCGGTAAAGAAGGCAAATGCTATGTTGGCCTTCATTGCAAGAGATTTTGAGTACAGGAGCAGGGATGTGTTGTTGCAGTTAGACAGGGCCTTGATGAAGCCACACCTAGAATGTTGCGTGCAGTTTTGGTCTCCTTTTCTGAGGAAGGATGCTCTTGCTCTCGAGGGTGTGCAGTGAATGTTTGTCAGGCTGATTCCGGGGATGGTGGGACTGATGTATGAAGAGAGATTGACTAGGTTGGGATTGTTTTTGCTAGAGTTCAGACAAATGAGGGGGATCTCATAGAGACTTATAAAATTCTAACAGGACTAGACAGGGTAGATGCAGGGAGGATGTTCCCGATGGTGGGTGTGTCCAGAACCAGGGATCACAGTCTGAGGACATAGATGAGGAGACATTTCTTCACCCAAAGAGTGGGGAGTCTGTGGGATTCATTACCAAAGGAAGTAGTTGATGCCAAAACAGTGAATATATTCAAGAGGCGACTAGATATAGCACTTGGGGCGAATGGGGTCAAAGGTTATGGGGAGAAAACAGGATTAGGCTATTGAGTTGGACGATCAGCCATTGTTGTGATGAATGGTGGAGCAGGCTCGAAGGGCTGAATGGCCTCCTCCTGCTCCTATCTTCTATGTTTCTATGCTGTTCAGTGCAAGATCCTGCCAAAAGGTCACCCTGTGCTAGGGCCAGCTGTGTATCTAGGCCAATTAACTTAACAACTCCAAATAACATCATGTTCAAATGGTTGGACTCCAGGGAATTGCAGGCACAGCACACTCTGTCTACAGAACACAGGCACAGACCTTATGGAAAAATTGAACTTTTGGCAGATCGTTCAGCATTGGAGAAGACAGAATCACAGATTTGTTACACAGCAGAAGGAAGCTATTCAACCCATCGTTTTGTCTGCACCAGCTCTCCAAAATGAGCAATTCACTCAGTATCATCCTGCCGCCTTTTCAGTGAAGTCTAATTCCCTTTTGAAAGCTTCAATTGAACCTGCCTCCACCACACACTCCAGCAGTGATTTTTGAGAAATTAACTGCTCGCTGCGAGATGTAAGTTTTTCCTTGTGTCGCTTTTGCTAATGACTTTAAACCTGTATCTTCTTCTCCTCAATCCTTTCATGAGTGGGAACGGTTTCTCCAAATCTACTCTGTCCAGACCCCTCATGATTTTGAATACCTCTGTCAAATCTCCTCTCAGCCTTCCCTTCAAGGAAAACTGTCCTAACACCTCCCAACTAGCTTCATTATTGAAATTCCTCACCCCTGGAACCATTCCCCTGAATTTTATTTGCACTGTGACGGGTATAGCTGCAATGTTTTAAAGACTAAAATCTGTGCTTACTGAGGTCTGTCCCCTTTGAGGACACAGGTCAGATTTGACAATGTGATCAAAATAGCCATACCATGAGATAAGTTTGAAACTAGCTAATAAATTAGACCACAGTTAAATGCCTGTGTGCAGTTTCAGGTGCTGAATTATAAGAGAGGGAATGAAAGCACAGAGACCATACAGTATTAGGTAGACAGGGATCAGAAACTGCAGCTATTATGATCATGGACAAATAAAGAAAGCTCTGAAGTTCGTGTCATTAAAAAGCCATTCTGCCCATCCAGCCAGTGCCATTTGTGGCTCATGTATTATTACTCAATTATGGGGCCGGTTACCTACTATTGTTGCTATATCAGAGGAAGACCTAGAATCATAGAGTCAACCATTCGTGCCAACTAGGTTTCCAAACTGAACTAGCCCCATCTGCCTGCGTTTGGCCCATATCTCTCTAAACCTTTCCTATTCATGTGCCTGTCCAAATGTCTTTTAAATGTTGTAATTGTACTCACCTCTATCACTTCTTCTAGCAGCTCATTCCACGTACGAATCACCCTCTGTGTGAAAAAGTTGGCCCTCAGGTCCCTTTTAAATCTTTCCCCTCTCACCTTAAACCTGTGCTGTCTATAAGTCCCCTACCCTAAGGAAAAGACCTTTACTAATCCCCTTATCTATGCTTCTCGTGATTTTATAAATCTCTATAAGGTCACCCCTCAACCTCTTCCAGGGAAAGAAAGCCCCAGACTCTTCTTATAACTCAAACCCTCCAATGTCGGTCTCATCCTTGTAAATCTTTTCTCAACCTGCTTCGATTTAATAACATCTTTCCTATAGCAGGATGACCAGAACTGTACTCAGTACTCCAAAAGTGGCCTCACCAATGTCCTGTACAGCTGCAACATGACATCGAATTCAATGCTCTGACCAATGAGCTACAAACAAAAACAACAGCAACTTCAACAGGGCATGAGTTTGAACCAGCTAGAGCCTGGTTGGTTTCTTTGGCGTGGGTGTCAGTAACCAGAGAATATTGATTTAAGAATCAGGGTCCAGATGAAGAGGAGCTTTACTTCAGGCAGCGTGTTGTTCTAATATGGAATGCATTTTAGGAAAGGGGAATAGGTTCAGTAGCAACCTTCATTCAGGGAGTTGTGTAAATAGTCTCTTTACAAAAGAAACTGTTGTCAGGGTATGGGGAAAGAGGGGAGAGGGGAGCAAATGGGCAGCTCTTCCAAAGGAACGATGGGCGTAATGGTTTCCTTCTACAATTTGCCCTGCAGAATAGACTTCTGGCATTTCCCTTTATCTTGAATGACATTGTTAACTCGAAATAAAATCTCTCTAGTTCATTGAGTACGTGGTAATGCCCCCAGTTGTTTCAACTTCCACTTGCATTCCTCAAAAAGTATGCTGTCATCACTTGCCCCTTACCGACAATTAGTCCAATGTTTCTGTCAGCAGTTGCCGTTTGATTGAATTCTGTGAAAAAGAATAATAAAACAGAACCGCATTTATCACAATACTGATAATCTACTTGGATATTAGCATGACATAGAGGACAAATAGAACAAGCTGGTGATCCAAAGGGATATTCAGATAATGACAGAAAACCTGGTGCAGTGATTCAGTTTATCACATACAGACTTTGCCTCATTTCGCACTGAGATATGAAGGTCAAAACTGTTGTATGTAAGGTTCCTCAATCCTCCTATTTTCAGGTTGCTGGGTGTAAGGAAACTCAGAAAATGTCCTCAATTCCCCTGGGTTCATTGAGAGGACAAACAAGACAGCTACAGTTTCTTCCCTTTGACTAGCTATTCAGTGACTCTTCCTGAGAGAGTTGGCCGCTGTGCACTGGCATTGAGACTTGGCCCTAGTGAAGGCCATACAGGAACAGTCTGGCAAATTTCACTGGCTTAAGCTTACGAATTAAAAACAACTGCTTAGCAAAGTATCGTGTCTGTGGCATTCTACACCAAAATCGCTCTGTGCCTTCAACAGCAAACGGTAGAGAAAGGAGCTTGAAGGGAGAAAGCACGGACGTCTGCAACGGAATCAAAGGAAGGGCCATAATTTCATGAGGTACCCATCACTGCTTCCATCTGAGAACAAAGATAAACTCCTTGCTGTAAAAGTGTAACAAAAATTGCTTTCTACATAATCCCTCATGCACTGGTTGATTCTTAGTGTACAAGACAGAATCTATCACCTGGTTGTCTCAGATTCCCACACCCATGCGAATAAACACATTTATTTAAACGTAGGGATTAGCAATGGCAGTAGACCATATGGCTCCTCAAGCAAGCACCACTATTTGATAAATCTGCAGCCTCAACTTGATTTTCCTGTCTACTTCACTATAACCTTGGAATTCCTTGTCAATCAAGTATCTATCTAATCAACGACCAGACCTCCACTGCTCCCTGATGAAGAGAATTTTACAGACTAACAAGAGAAAAAAATCTCATCATCTCCATCCTAAATGTTTTTTTTAATTCACTCATAGATGAGGACATTGCTGGCTAGGCTGGCATTTATTGGGCAATTAAAAGTCAACTACATCACTATTGGTCTGGAGTCACATGTAGACCAGACCAGGTGAGGATGGCAGTTTCTTTCCGAAAAGGCATTAGTGAGCCAGACAGGCTTTTCCTGAGAATTAACAATAGTTTTGTGGTTATCATTGGGGTCTTATTTCCAGATTTTTATTTAATTTAAATTCCACCATCTGCCTTGGCAGGATTTGAAACCAGGTCTCCATAACACTATCTGGGTCTCTGGTTTAACAGTACAGTGATAATACCACTAGGCCATCACCTCCTCAGGTGACCCCTTATTTTTAAATTGTGTCCCTCCTTGTTTTGGTCTCTCCCAGAAGGGGAAATAACCTGTCAGGATCCACTCTGTCAAATCTCCTCAGGATCCTGTGTGTTTCGAGCAGAATTCCTTGCCTTCTCGTAACTCCATTGGATACACAATGCAAACATGAACTGTTCTCAGCCACTGACTTCCCCGGTCAAATATCAGTCTGGTGCATTTTTCAGAGTTGGCATATTTCTCTGAAAGCTCACCTGCAAATCTGCCCTCATCACATCACCATTGCTAGGCCTAACTTCAGTTACTCATGCCCCAAGCTCTAAATCTCCTGAAACTTTCTGCCTCCTTCAGAAGACCCACCAGTTTGTTGTTATTCTCCACCTTCAGCCTACTGCTCATGCATCCAATACTCCACCTCCCAGGAAGTAAGAATTGATCCACGTTGGACATAAACAGGGACAGAGATGACCAATTTTTGCAGGCCCAAGGACGTTCAATTAGTCTCCTGTAAGGGTCAGAGTTAGGGTTAGCTCAGCAGAATTATCGTCCAGGCAGTCAAGTTATTAGATCTGGTTGTGAATCTTACACTAGTTACATCATGATTTTCCTGCATTTAATGCAATTTGCCTGAATTTCCAGTCAGGTAACTTACTCAGATCTAGAACATAGAACATAGAACATTACAGCGCAGTACAAGCCCTTCGGCCCTCGATGTTGCGCCGACCTGTGAAACCAATCTGAAGCCCATCTAACCTAAACTATTCCATTATCATTCATATGTTTATCCAATGACCATTTAAATGCCCTTAAAGTTGGCGAGTCAACTATTTTTGCAGGCACGGCATTCCACGCCCTTACTACTCTCTGAGTAAAGAACCTACCTCTGACAGCTGTCCTATATCTATCACCCCTCAATTTAAAGCTATGTCCCCTCGTG